TGGGTACAAAAATATGTTCCCTCTTTTTAGAGTATAGTTGACAAGCAATAATCAACAAGAAGTAAGAGAAACGATCACAAAAATAGCATCTTGTTTTCCAACTCCCTTTTTCACTTTTTCTTAGGAGCATTATTTTCAGATACGTTTATAAAACTAGGGAAAAGGAAAAGGATGAAATTATTAAGGATAGATGCAGTGTATCTGGAGCTGATGGGCTTTTATGTAACAAGTCTGCTTATACTTCTACATAGGTTATCCAAGATTAATGAGCATACCATTTGCTTAATTTATAAATTAATTTGGACACTTTTTACACTTCACTTTCCATTCTGTGTCAGTTTTTCTGATGAGCCTAGTTGGCTTAAGGCTACATTAAGCTTTCTCGGTCATGTAGAATCTGGTTAGGCCTTTTGGTTTATCTCATGGGCAGAGCATAAAGTACTTGACAGAATTTGGTCTGACAGCTTTACAGTTGTGTAACAGAACAGAAGCTTAAAAACAAGAAGAGGGAGACTCGAGGGGTTTATCATAACAACCTATCTTTCTCCAAAACCTTATATTCTCCTCACTTTTGTAAACTGGAGCAGGACCATTCTAAGGCTGGTAGTTGACACAGTCTTAAATCTACCAAATTTTTTTTTTTTAAATTGTAAGATTTAGAGGCAAAACGGTCTTTAGGATTATCCTGTCCAGTTGCATCACATTACCAATGAGAACATAAGAGCCTAAAGAGGGTAAGTAATTTGCTTATGGTCATGAAGCTAGTTAGTGGCAGAGCTGACCCAGGACCCAGAATTCAAATTCCAGTGCTTTTTCTAGTGTAGTATGTGAATGGAATATTTAATTATATTTAGTTACAAAATGTTTAATTATACAAACGTTTTACAAAAGAAAATTTATAACTGAAAAATACTGATAATTGATTTTGCATATTGAATAAAAGTCATTAAATGGAAGGCATACTTTATTGCCTGGGTCCATAGTCTTCCTGCTTCACTATTGGCATGATATTGTTCAAGTATCTTAAACTGTAAATCTCTTCACCAATAAAGTGGAGCTAATCTATACCTTGTTATGTTAAATATAAGAATATTTTTAAAAACAATATGAACATTTCTCAGTGTTTCCTTTAAATGAAATGGAATTTAGCATCAAGAGTAAGAAAAGTAGTGGCTACAAGGACAGATTTATAATCAAAAGAGTATTTTAGAAGGTGGTGGGGGTAGGCCTTTAGAATTAGAGAAGTATTTTTAACTTTTTTCATATTAAAACCTATGATGGATTTAGTTATTTTAAAACTATGTTCAGAAATCTAAACTTTAAGTGTTTTTTTCCCAATGCTCTTCTGTTTATGAGTTTCAGAATATCTGAATTGTCAAATTCAAGAAGCAGAATTGTTTTGTATTTTAACAAGATTTCTCACACAAGCAAAGAAATAATCTTTGACTAACAATAAAAATAAGCCCTGAAGTTATTTTTGCATTTAGAAATCACAGTCTAAACAGGTTTAAGAATGAAGGAGAAAGAGTTGTTCTCATACTTTAGCCACATTCCATTTGCCTTTGATCTATAGGAGAGTCTTATGCCAAGCAATCTATAATGCAGAACATGAAATTTCTGTTTTCTCTTTTTTTCTTTCCCCCTTTTGCCTTCCCTTTCCGTTATTCTAACCAGGAGGGTTAGATTAGGACACATTTATAATCAAAAGAGTATTGCTGCTTCTCACTTGCTACATAAGCACTATATCACAGCTACATCCCTAGCCCTAAAGCAGTATTTTCTAATGTGCACTCAACACTACAGGAAACTTAGGAGATATTTTTAAATGATGTTCATATAAACATTCAAATTGTGATAGCCATAAATTTTAATGCCAGTCAGGAAAATGTATAATCTTACCTCACATAATAGTTAGTGGGAATAAATGTTTCTTTTAAAAGCACATTGATATTCTGATACATAATCATCATATGATTGAACTCTCAAGCAAAGTGAAAAACGCAGACACAGGACAGTTATTATATGGTTCTATACTTAAGGTTCTTAAATAGTCAAGTTCACAGAGGGATAAAGTGAAACAGTCTCAATCTGAAATCTTGATCTTAAGGTTTTTAACATTGGATATACATTAAGTTGGAAATCTTTGTATAACTGTTATATGATCAGATTCTTAAATTGAAAACCTTAGATCACACAAATTCAACCAGAAAAGGTTTGTGAGACTATTTGAAAGCAGTATCACATGGCTTTTCCACTTTTAAAAAGAGGAGAAAGAAAAATATGTAACTGGGGATGAGGAAAGGGAGGAATAGGAAGGTATTGTTTAATAAGTTCAGATTTTAGGGCTAGAGAGATGGCTCATCAGTTAAGAACACTACCTGTTCTTGCAGAAGACCCAGGTTCAAATCCCAGCACCCACATCGCGGCTAACAGCTGTCAGCAACTCCAGTTCCAGGGGATCTGACAGCTGCTTCTGTCCTCTGCTGGCATTGCACGACATGGGTGCACTTACTAACATGCAGGCAATACATGCAAACACATAAAATAAAAATAAAAATAAAATATATTTTTTAAAAGTTCAGATTTTCTGTTTGGGGTAATGAAAAAGTTCTAGATATGAATAATGTCGATTGTGGCACAGAATTATGAGTAAAGTACTGCCGCTGGTGACCTGGAGCTCGGAAACTGCTTGTTAACCCTGAAGTCCTCTCATTCTGTGCCATTGGTTTCTTTATTCAGATGACTGTCTTTTTCTGCATTTTAATAGTAGTCTGCTTTTCGATAATGTAAAAAATTCATATTTAGAATTTGGATGTGGTACTAGAATTTAAAATATTCTGAGACTCATATTATAGTAATAAAAGACAAAAAGATTTAAAAATCATTCAGAGGTGTTATGTCCACATATTTGATTTTAAGGGTCTCCTAGCTGTTTTTTCTTGCTGTTCTTTCATATTAAATTTATAATTAACTTTTTTGATTCAGGAAAAGAGAAAATTTTAAAAGTATTTTCATTAAGATTGAATTAAATAAATTAGGGAAAATTGGTACTTTCATCAGATTGTTGATACATTTAAGCTTATTTTTAAGTATTTGTTATTTTTATTTTTTTGTGTGAGTGTATTGCCTGCATGTATATAAGGGCACATGTGTTGTGCAATGCCCATGGAGGTCAGAAGAGGACATCAGATCCCCTGCTGGGAATCAAACCTGGGTCCTTTGCAAGATCAGCCAGTGCTCTTAACCGCTGAGCCATCTTTCCAGCCCTTTAAGCTTATTATTGTAAATAATCTTGTCTTTTCTATTTTTACCCCTTTTTTTTGGTCTTTTTTGAGGCAGGGTCTCCCTGTAGCCCCAGCTGTCCTGGAACTCACTATGTAGACCAGGCTGGCCTTGTACTCAGAGAGATCCGCCTGCCTCTGCCTCCCGAGTGCTGGGATTAAAGATGTGCACCACCATGCCCGGCTATTTTTACTTTTAAAAATCATTTCTTTTATGATTATTGTTATATATGTGATCTATTTTTACTTTCTATTGCCCTCCACCACCTCCCTTTTCTTTCAGATATTGAGACAGTCTCAGTATGATTGGTTTGGAACTCACTATATAATCTAGACTGACCTTAAACTTGCAGCAATCTTCTTGCCTCTGTGATTAAATGAGTGCTAGAATTTACAGGAGGACAGCACTGTACCTGGCTGTCCTTTCTTTGTACTTAGTGTTAAGTATATGATGGCCTGATTTCTTGGTATTAGTTTAAAATTCTATTTTACCACACTGTCTTACGGTTGGAATAGTTTTTACGTGGATTCTTTTATGTTTTACAATTCAGTGTATTATCTATAAATTGTACTGATAATCCTTCCTTCCCACCTCACCCCATCCCCTCCTATTTGTTATGCCTCTAATGCTTTCCCTTATTTAATTACATTGGTCAGTGTCTACATAATGTTATATAGTCATAGAGTCTTTTTTTCTTAAAAGACTTTAATAGGGGAAGCCTTTAGTGTTTCTCCATAAAGCTAAAAAATGTATGAAACATTCTGAACAGAAGCAAAATTTATAACTGGCTGGTTTTTGTGATATTTTTCATTTTTCTGCAGACATTTGTATATGAGATATATTTTGCATACCACAACATTGATCCATTGTACTTATATAATATAGTGATTTTTGGTAAGTGCATGATAGGGTTGATTTTTTTTGTTTATGGGGTTATCAGCTGGCCAGAATTTATGTTTTTATTTCTAGGCTTTTATTTTTGTAATCAGGTTGATTAAAATAAATATTTCTATAACATTATGGAGCTAACATTTAGTTATAGAACATGTGTGTCATTACAAAAAGGTCTTTTTATAGTGATTTTTATGTGGAAGGATATATTTATATGTGTATTTTATGTGCATATATGTATGTTCTATAACATGAATATTTTTATCATTTATAGAAGTATTGATGAATTCCTGTTTCATTGTCTATTTTTGTTTTTGTTGCTTGTTCTTTTTTTGAAACAAGGTTTTATACCGTAGTTCAAACTGGCCTGGAACTTACTATGTAGCCCATGATAGTCAAAGTCAATTCTGCCTCAGCCTCCAGAGATTAGAGGTGGGAGCCACCCTGTCAGGGTTCATTTGTTGTTTTGTTTTGTTTGTTTGTTTGTTTGTTTGTTTGAGACACTCTGTAGCATCAGCTGGCCTGGAACTCCTCATGTAGACCAGGCTGGTCTCTTGATTGCTTAGATAACCACCTGCCTCTGCCTTCTGAGTGCTGGGATCAAAGGTGTATGTCACCATACCCAGCCAATTGCCTATTTTTAATATAAATGAATAATCTTAGAAAGTTTTCTTTTGACTTAATGTGGTTAAATAATAAGCCTCAAACCATCTTGGTGAAATGAAATAGAAAAGTATGATTACAGTAAAATAGGGCAATATTAAAGTAGAATTTTCCTGTGTGGGAGGAAGATGGTATTTCTAAGTGTATTGTTCCATGTTTGTTAGAGGATGGCATTCCCTGTGGATTTGCTGGATAATTGCACACATGAGGAACTGGAAAATTCTGCTGAGGATTACCTCTCTGATTTAAGGTGTGGGGACCCTGAAAATCCAGAATGTTTTTCTCTTCTCAATATTACGGTAAGGCATTTTGCAGTGACTTTTACCAATGTTTTCAGTTCAGTGTATGTGTGAAATCAGATCCTTCTTAAAAATAGTAAGTGTAGGGACTGGAGAGATGGCTCAGTAGTTAAGAGCACTGATTGCTTTTGCAAAGGACCTGGGTTCAGTTCCCAGCACCCACATGACAGCTAACAACTTCCAATTCCTGGGGATCTGATGCCTTCTTCTGGCCTCCACAGGCATTGTGTGCATAAATATACTTACATACATGAAGGCAACATACTTATACACATAAAAATAAAATAAAAAATTTTAAAATACTGTAAAAACCATTCTTTTTCATAAATATGACCAATTAATAATGGGTAATCACAGTCAGTTTTTTTTTGTGTGTGTATACATGTGTATGGGTCCAGGGGAGGCAGGGGTGTGCACATGTGCACATGCATGTAGAGATCAGGACATTGGATATCTTCGTCTACTGCTAGCTACTTTATTCCCTCGAGACAGAGTCTTTCTCTTTTTTTTTCTTTTTTTTTTGGTCTTTTTGAGACAGGGTCTCCCTGTAGCCCCAGCTGGCCTTGAACTCACAGAGATCCACCTGCCTCTGCCTCCCACGTACTGGGATCAAAGGCGTGCACCACCGTGCCTCGTGAGACAGAGTGTTTGACTGAACCCGAAGCTTGCCATTTCAGCCAGGCAAGCCGGTAGGCATTCAGGATCCAACTCTTTTTACCCCAATGCTAGAATTACAGGCACAAGTGGCAATGCCACTTGTGGATTCTGGGAATTCAAAGTCAGGTTCTCATGCTTGAATAGCAGGTACTCTTAAACACTGAGCATCCTCCCAGTTTCTTCCATCAGCTTTGAAAAGGAAAAAATCCATAGGTTATTACTTAATGTTTATGTTTACTTAATGTTATGACCTTTAAAATTATATGTAGAGCCAGGCGTGGTGGCACATGCCTTTGAGCCCAGCACTTGGGTGGCAGAGGCAGGCGAATCTGAGTTCAAGGCCAGCTTGGTCTACACAGAGAGCTCCAGGACAGCTACAGGGAGA